TTTAAAAAAAAAAAGAAAAAGAAAAAGAAAACAAGAGAACTTTATTCAGTTCACCTCTCTCAATTAGTCTTGATGGTGTAAACATGGTGCTAAGAATGGAAGACACCATACTGCAAAAGGCAGTAGTGACACAGCAGAGGTGCCAACGCAGGCTGCAGCTCACTGGGCATAGGCAGGTTACGCGTATGCAAATACCCACACCATTGAGATAGCCAACCATATATTTGCCCAGTATGCCATATAGGTATTATTTTCTTTTCGCCTTGATATTAAAAAAGATTGGAATGCACTACATAAGTATATTGGAAAGCAAATAATTTCTTAAAATACGCAGTTAGAAGTGCATATGTAAGCCTGGGCAACAAAGCGAGACCCTGTCAAAAACCAAAAAAAAATTGCCAGGTGTGGTAGCGTGCACCTGTAATCCCACCTACTTGGGAAGCTAAGGCAGGAAGATTGCTTGAGCCCAGGAGACAAAGGCTGCAGTGAGCTACGATCATGCCACTGCACTCCAGGCTAGGTGACAGAGTGAGACTCTTACCAAAAACAAGCAAAAAAAGAAGTGTATATGTTTTGAATAGCTGTCTCCCATTATAAAATGAAGAAAAAGAATATTGCTTCCAGTTTTAAGGGTGATGTATCTGTTGTACACTGTAGTATAAAATCCACATTCTGCCACCGACATTTCATATCAGAGTTCCAATTCCATACCAAAGGAGTAATTAATTACAGAGAAAAATTTTAGGTCAGTTGCAGTGGCTCACACCTGTAATGCTAGCACTTTGGGAGGCCGAGGTGGGCAGATCACTTGAGGTCAGGCATTTGAAACCAGCCTAGTCAACAAGGTGAAATCTCATCTCTACTAAAAATACCAAAATTAGAGGGCCATGGTGGCATGTGCTTGTAATTCCAGCTACTCAGGAGGCTGAGGCACAAGAATCACTTGAACCTGGGAGGCAGAGGTTGCAGTGAGCTGAGATCCCGCCATTGCACTTTGCCCTGAGCAACACAGCCAGACTCCATCTCAAAAAAGAAAAAGAAAAATTTTATGATTAAGTATTGCTGTTTTTGAATTTAGAATCTCCAACATTAGAACACAAACAGTACAACATATCAACATGTTTTTATTTTTACATGCTCTAATAAATATACACAACATGTGATGGTATCTCTACAATATTTTTTACACCTGACTGTTCAAAGTATTTTATAAACAAAGTAACTGGCTCAGGAAAGTAACTTGCCTCCAAGTTAGCAAAGCTGGTAAATAAGGAATCAAGAAATTGAAAACAGGTCTGTTTGATTTCAGAGGGTGTAACTTAAACCAATGCACACTGTAATGACTCCAATTTGATCAGAGGATCAAAACTGGAGGGGAAAAAGGAGACCTTAAGGTTAATGACTAAATTTTTGTGAAGCTCATACTTTTAGTATAGCTAAATAACAATGAAAATATGTGGAAAATACAGGCCAAAGCTTGGTCTGCAGGTATACAGAGTATTATTAAACTTCTTGAAAAGACGAACTAAAACTTACTCGTGGAGTGGATGACAAGCTCTGAACAACAAACACCACGGGGTTTCCTGCATTCTTAATAGCCTCGACTGCTTCGCTGTGTGAGGCATTCTGCAAATCTACTCCAGACACCTGAAACACAGAAGCAACTTATCTCAATTAGAACAGCACTAGAGGCTGGGCATGGTGGCTCAAGCCTGTAATCCCAGTACTTTGGGAGGCTGAGGCGGATGGATCATGAGGTCAAGAGATTGAGACCATTCCTGGCCAACATGGTGACACTCCGTCTCTAAAAATACAAAAAAAAATTAGCTGGGTGTGGTGGCGTGCGCCTGTAGTCCCAACTACCCGGGAGGCTGAGGTAGGAGAATTGCTTGAACCCGGGAGGCGGAGGTTGCAGTGAGCCGAGGTCACACCACTGCACTCCAGCCTGGCACCTGGCGACAGAGCAAGACTCTGTCTCAAAAAAAGAAAAAAGAACAGCACTAGATATTGTGGATAGGTTAATTCAAAGTTTGTGTGTATTATCTAGTTATGAGAACAACCAGAGCCTAATGAGTAGACCACAGTCAAGATTGGCCCAGAAAAGCTTTGGTATTTTAGGAGAACGTGTGTAAGGAAAGTAACATTTCACCTTCAGAAAAGTAGATAAAACAAATATATTAATAAAAATGGCCCTGGTTAAATATAATTATCCTAAACAGGTAGCTCAGTCAGTAGCAGAAGCTTAAGATGTCTGTCACCTCTGCCAGGAGTGCAGCACATAATTCCGAGTGGGACAAGGGTGGCTGGGATTACCTATGGACTTTTATCAACTCTCCATTAAGCTGAGAGGCATAATATTTTAAGCAAATCACCTGTTATCACAATTGAGTAGTTGAACATTTCTCAAATGACGTTTAAAAAGAAGTACCAAAAAACACTCACAAATTACTAAAACTATTTCTGTGTTCAGTAAATTTAAGTCAGTGTAAACAGTTCCCTATTACAGAAAATTTCAGAGAACCTAACTTGCTAACATGCCCATAAATCTCCAAGAGCACTCTGTATTTCCAAAACATGTTTAACAGAATGAATTTTTCAAACCTATAATATAACAAAGCCTTGGTAGATGATGGGGTGGTCTAATGTCTCAACAGGTAGTGACAATTTGTGAAGACTGCTTTGCTATCAGAGGACTGAGGAAATAGGAATGTAGGTGGAGAGGGATGCCGGATGTTTTGAAGACAGGAGGAAATATTACAGTGATATTGATACAGTGGAGAGAAAAAAAATGGATGATAAAGGAAAGAGACATGATCACTGTAAGGACAATATCCTTGGGTAATCAAAAGGGAATGATTTCTACTGCACGAGTTAGAGAGACTGGCTTTGGATGGAAGCGCAAATGTAGTTTTTTTGCTGTTACAAAGGCAATTAGAAAAAAGATTTGGTGAGCACAAGAAGCAGGGGAAGTTCCCTTTAACTGCCTCTATTTTCTCAATGAAACCTGAAACTAGGACCTTAAACTGAGAGCCAGACGGATGAAAGAGTCATAAGGGGTTTGGCACAGTTACCTATTGTATTAGTCTGTTCTCACGCTGCTGTAAAAAACAGCCTAAGAGTATGTAATTTATAAAGGAAAGAGGTTTAATTATCTCATGGTTCTGTATGGCTGGGGGGGTCTCAGGAAACTTACAGTCATAGTGGAAGGGGAAGCAAACCCATGCTTCTTCACACGGCAGGAAGGAGAAGTGCCCAGCAAAGGCGGAAAAGTTCCTTATAAAATCATCAGATTGGTTGGGCACGGTGGCTCATGCCTGTAATCCCAGCACTTTGGAAGGCCATTGCGGGCGGATCATGAGGTCAGGAGTTTGAGATGAACCTGACCAACATGATGAAACCCCATCTCTACTAAAAATACAAAAATTAGCTGGGCGTGGTGGCGCACGCCTGTACTATTGAACTCCAGCCTGGGTGACAGAGTGAAACTCTGTTTCAAAATAAATAAGTAAATAATATAAAATAAAAGCATTAGATCTTGTGAGAACTCACTTCACTATCACAAGAACAGCAGAATGGGAGTAACCACCCCCATGATTCAATTACTTTCCACTGGGTCCCTCCCATGACATATGGGGATTTGGGGAACTACAATTCGAGATGAGATTTGGTTGAGGACACAGCCAAATCATATCATTTATAAAGACAGGAGACTGAACCAGCTAGGAGAATATTAAAGGACAGCAGGGCAAAATTTAAGACCCACTTGTGGGGGTGTTCACGAGCTTCTAATGAGACCAGACGCCATGGCTGGTTATTTCTCTAGCCATGCCAGAGACCTGGAATAAGCAGAGTTGCACTTAACTAGGATGTGGTTCTCCCAAACAAGTTCAGTGAAAGGAAGAAGGATCAAGAGCAGGAAGCACATGCAAGGGAGGAGGTGGAGCCACAACCACTGAACGTGAGCAGTCGGAGGAGGAAGTGAGCAGGAGAAGCTGAGGACACGGATGTGTGTGCCTGTGGTATCATACGAAATGTCCTTGTTCTTGTCACAGAGTACCCTTGGAATTTCCTGAGTGATAGGAGTGTCTTTTGTTATGCATGATAGCCCCTTTCACATCTGAGTTTATGCTACTGAGGTGGCTTAGGGTAGATCCCCTGGATAGCCTCCAGATGGGGCCAGTCACCAGAAAGACCAAAGAATTAGAGAACCCCACACCTCCCCCACGATCTCCACAAAGTGAGGGTAGGGGCTGGAAATGAAGCTCTGTAAAAACCCTTGAACAACAAGATTTGATGAGCTTCTGGGTTGTTGAACATGTGGACATGCTGGGAGGGTGGCAGGTGACACACCCAGAGTGTGGATATTCTGCGCCCTCCTCCCCATACTTTGCCCTACGCATCTCTTCATCTGGCTGTCCATCTATAACCTGAGTATAACCAGTAAATGTAAGTAAGTGTTTCTCTGAGCTGCCCTAGCAAATTAACAAAATGCAAGGGGAGGGATGTGGAAGCCCTGGTTTATAGCCAGTTGGTCAGAAGTACAGGTAACAACCTACTAAGAGTGGCATCTGACATGGGGGCAGTCTTGTGGGATCAAGCCCTCAACCTGTGTGATGTGATGCTATACCCAAGTACACAGTGTCAGAATTCAATTAAATTATAAGACAGTTGGTGTCCACTGGTGATCTGACACTATCTCCAGGTACATAGTATCAGAATTGAACTGAATTATAAGACACTCAGTTGGTGTCCACTGGAATATGGGGGGAAACCCCCTACACATCTGGTCACATTTACTTTTCTGTTTTGAGTGTGAGAGTAAAGGGAAAAGGTTGGTAAGAATATGGAGAAACCAAAAAATGAAAATGAAAATAATAATAATAATAAAGAATATGGAGAAACTTACACATTGCTGGCATGAATGTAAAATAGTATAGCCAGCCACTCAGAAAAAGAGTTTGACAACTCTTTTCAAAAACTGGAATTAACATAAAACTCAGTAATTGCACTCTTGGGTATTTATCCTAGAGAAATGGAGACTTATTTTCACTCAGGAATTTGTATAGAAATATTTAGAGCAGATTTATTTGTAATTGCCAATAATTAAAAACTATCCAAGTGTCTTTCAATGGGTGAATGGTTAAACAAATTGGTATACCCACATCACGAAATGCCACTGTTATAGTTGGAATTTATGTGGCCTTTAGAGTTCATATGTTGAAATTCTAACCTCTAAGGTGAAGGTATTAGGAGGTAGGCAGGGTCTTTACGAAATGATTAGGTCATGAGGGCTCTGCCCTCAAGAATGGGGTTAGTGGCATCATAAAAGAGACCCAAGATAGCTAGCTCATCCCTTTTACTGTGTGAGGACACAATAAAAGAGAAGGCATCATCTGCGACCCAGAAAACAGGTCCTCCCAGACACCGAATCTGCCAATGCCTTGATCTCGGAGTTCCCAGCTTCCCAGCCTCCAGAACGATAATGGAATTTCTATCTTTATGATATTTTGTTTTGGCAGCCTGAATTTCCAAAGACAACTACTCAACAAAAAGGAGTAAGCTGGTTGTTTTTTTTTTGTAGAGAGAACGTCTCACTCTGTTGCCCAAGCAAGTCTTGAACTCCTGACTCAATCCACTCTCTTGCCTCTGCCTCCCAAAGTGCTGGGATTACAGGTGTGAGCCACCTCACCCAGCCATAGGGATGAACTAGTAATGCACACAATAAATTGAATTAACCTCAAGGAGATTATGCTAAGTCAAAAAAAGGCAATCTCAAAAAGATACATAATTCATAATTGCATTATGAGACAATTATAAAATAACATAATTATAGACATTAAGAAACGGATTACTGGCTGTCAGAAGGTAGAGATGGGAGAGAAAGGGAAGAGGATAGCAGAAAGTGAAGAAGGTGCCTGCTTCTCCTTCTGCCATGATTGTAAGTTTCCTGAGGCCTCCCCAGCAATGTGGAACTGTGAGTCAATTAAACCTCTTTCCTTTATAAATTACCCAGTCTTGAGTATTTCTTCATAGCAGTGTGAGAATGAACTAAAACAGAAGGGGAATGCAAGGCAGTTTTGTGGTGATGATACAGGTAAGTTTCTCAATTGTGGTGTTGCATATGCAAGGTTTTACATGTGATAAAATTGTATAGAGCTACAAACACACATGCAAATCAATGCATGCATAACTGGTAAAATCTGAATAAACTACAGATTGAGCCAGTGTCAATTTCTTGGTGTTGCTATTGTGGTATAGTTGTACAAGACATTAAAATTGGAGGTGGCTGAGTGAACAGTACACGAGACTTCTCCTGTACACTTCTTTGTAATTTGCTATGAATTTATGATTTCAAAATATATTAAGAAAAAATATAATACAATAATATTTAAAAATTAAGTTACAATAGATCAGTAATCAAAGTAAAAAGTGAATTCGTCTCTTATTTTCTAGATGATTATTAATTTAGATTAAAAACCAAAATTCAGTTGTATGTTGCTTACAAAAAATACAACTTAAACTAAATGAAAAGAATAGTGGAAAAGGAGGAATGAAAAAAGCAAAGTACCGGCTGGGCACAGTGGCTCAGGCCTGTAATCCCAGCACTTTGGGAGGCCGAGGTGGGCAGATCACCTGAGGTCAGAAGTTCAAGACCAGCCTGACCAACATGGCAAAACCCCACGTCTCTACTAAAAAATATAAAAATTAGCCTGGCATGGTGGTAGGCACCTGTAATCCCAATTACTTGGGAGGCTGAGGCAAGAGAATCACTTGAACCTGGAAGGCAGAGGTTGCGGTAAGCCAAGATCATGCCATTGCACTCCAGCATAGGTGACAGAGTGAGACTTGGTCTCAAAAAAAGAAAAAAAGCAAAGTACCATGTAAATTAATAACTAAAAACAAGGTTACCAATACTAAAAAAATAGAATTTAAGGCAAAAAGTAATTAATAGGAATAAATAGGAAAACTACATAATGTCAAAAGCAAATCACCAACAATAAATCCACTAAATATATACAGCAAAACCAGCAGAATTACAAGGAATAACAAACAACTCCAGTGAGAGACAAACCCTAACTGAAACTGAGGAAAAAGACCAAAAAAATTAGTAAGAATACACGACTCCTTATTTGTTTATCTAACTATTACTATTTGAATGTCAAATAGGTGTCTTAACCTAACATGTCTAAAAAATGTCTCCCCAAATCTGTTTCTCCCACAGTCTTCCCCATCTCAGCAAATAGAAATTCCATCTTTGATTTCTCAAGCTGAAAAGCTTTTGAATTATCTTTGCCACTTTTCTCTTTTGCATTCATTCTGTTAGTTAAGTCCTATTATTCTACTTGTAAAATATACTACAACCTGACTGCTCCCTCCTGGTCCAGGCTGCCATTCTTTCTCTCCTGAGTGACTGCAACAGCCTTCCAGCTGAGGCCCCTCCTTCCATCCCAGCCCCAGAAGCCAGAGTACTTGGAAACAATACATACTTACATGCTCATAATTCTCCAGTGACTCTCCACTGCATTCAGAGCAGAAGACCTTCCAGAGCTTTCAGGCTCTACCTGATGTGGCTTCCCATCACTCCTCAGCCCTTTTCTCTTACCCCTTCTGGCTTGTTCATGCTGTGCTATTATTGCTGGACTTCCTGCTGCTCCTTCAACACATCCAGGCAAGCTCCTATCTCAGAGCTTTGGCATGTTTTTCTTCCTCCATATACCCATATGGCTCACACTCTCATTTCCTATATTCGTCCCAATATCATCTTCCATAATGAAGCTATTAGAATTGCAACCATTGCTTTCACTGCCCCAAACCCCCACGCTCCTTATTCTCCTCCACTGCTTTATTTTGTTCCCTAGGCACTTACTACAACCTGACATTCTACGTATACTTATTTATTTTATTCTCCATTCCCCACTCCCACTATCATGTACACACCATAAGGTAAGGGACTTTTGGTCATCTTCTTCATTGCCATATTAGCAGTATGTTTGAAAATGGTTTTGAACATTGCACAGCACAAATATTCAAAATTTGTATACAGAGCTGCTTTCATATAATTCTTTAACCCTCACAATAATGCTATAGATTTTGAATTCTCATTTCCATTTTATTTGAAAACTGAAAATCTGTAGGTTTAATGATTTGTCCAAAAACACATAGAACCCAAAAAGGACAGACTCTGACTCCAGCCCATGACCTCCAGGGCTCTTTGTATTCCATTAGAGCTGAAACACCGTGGTTGATGGTTAGCATCATAAAGCATGAATCAGAACAAGCAGATAACGGGATTAAAGACACCCACCGTAGCGTCACCCAATTAACCCAGAGAAAAGAAATGTATCACATTCAGACTTCAGGGCACTCTCGGTGGTTTCATGTCCCCCACCCCTCACCCCACTTTTTTTTCTGTTTTGAGACGGAGTCTGGCACTGTCGCGCCACTGCAGGGCAGCTGCGCAATCTCGACTCACTGCAACCTCTGCCTTCCGGGTTGTAGCGATTCTCCTGCCTCAGCCTCCCAAGTAGCTGGGAATATAGGCGAGGCCACCACGCCCGGCTGATTTTTGTGTTTTTAGTAGAGATGGGGCTTCACCATGTTAGCCAAGCTGCTCTCAAACTCCTGACCTCAACTGATCCGCCTGCCTCTGCCTCCCAAAGTGCTAGGATTACAGGCATGAGCCACCATGCTCAGCCTGAAGTGCCTTTAAAACTAGCTCTCAGGCCGGGCACGGTGGCTCACGCCAGTAATCCCTGCACAGTGGGAGGCCAAGGCCGGCGCATCACGAGCTCAGGAGTTTGAGACCAGACTGACCAACATGGTGAAACCCCGTTCCTACTAAAACTACAAAAAAATTAGCTGGGTGTGGTGGTGCATACCTGTAATCCCAGCTACTCAGGAGGCTGAGGCAGGAGAATCGCTTGAACCCAGGAAACAGAGGTTGCAGTGAACCAAGATCACGCCACTACACTCAAGCCTGGGTGACAGAACAAGATTCCATCTCAAAAAAAAAAAAAACAAAAAACAAAAAAAAAAAAAACAAAACAAAACAACAACAACAACAACAACAACAAAACTTAGCTCCCACACATATCAGGTGCGAACCATGGATCCTCCCCCTCCCCCAATGGAGTCTTACACCTTTCTAGGGTCAACTTCTTTCTCTAAACAAGAATATATATCCTATTGACACACAATTATAAAATTTAGAGCTTCAAGAAAAAAATTTAGAGCTTGTTAAAGACAGGGGGAGAAGCATAATGCCTACCATCTGCCCGTTCTATACAGAGCCCTTTGTTAGTGTTTTTGCGATCAGCTGAAGTTTTTCTTTTATCATTTTATTTGTTTACCCCCACCCCCACTCACTTGAGAAACTCATAAATTGTGCATACAATGTACAAACTAAGGCATATAAATAGAGCCACACCAACTGTACACACATGATCCCCAGCACCCGAAGAAAAGTCTTCCGGCTAAATGATTAGTCCACTGTCTTACAGTATGTTTCCAATAAAAACAGTTCTTTAACGTCATTTACCTCAAGTATTTTATCTCCAGTTTTAAGTGCGTTTGTCTTCCCTGCTGGACTGTCTTCTAAAACTTGCTTGATAAATATACCTTTAAGTTCCTCTCCATTCTTTAGACGTTTTATAACAGTTTGTCCACCAACAATACTGATCCCAAGGGACACACTGGGTTCTCTAAAAATCTCAACACTATATAAAGGAAGAAAACAAAATTCACTCATCAACAAGTTAATTTAATCTGTTGGACTGCAACTATTCCATTTGTATCATTGACTCACATTTTATATAAAATTTCTAAATATATTTTTACAAATGTTATATAAATGATATGTAGTTCCAACACTGTAAGATGTTATCAATAATTCATAACGTGAAAGTTTCAGTTCTGAAAAGCAGAGATTTCTAAAGCAACAAATATAACTCTTAATATTCAGTAAAGATTTAGCTAAGCCCTAATGTTCCCATCTCCTATCACAGTATGTTTTCTGTGATTAGTCCTTTTCATTTATATCCATAACATTAGCAAAGAATGGACTGAAGAAAAAACAAATGGGGAAAAAAAATTAAGAAAGCCACATATGTCATTTTAGCAAAAAGTACAGACTTTCAGAATAAAGTAAATTTGCCACTGAGTGGCTCATGGCCCAAATGGCTTTTCCCATTTGGCAGGTTTAACTCTGTGGTTCTTTAATCAGAGGACAGATTTTACTTGCTCCTAAGGCCAGAAGATTTTGATTTCTTCCTACCTCATGTCATTATTTAAAAGAAAGTTTGAAATAAAAACTGCCCCCCTCAAAATATAAATTTTGGACTGCAGCCAATAATCAACTTATTAAAAAAGTAACTCAGAAAACAACTCTTAAATTTTTTAAGACAAATTCAGATTTCAATTACAAGAAAAGAACCAGTTTGGATGGAGATGGTGGAATTAATAATGGATACGGAGTAGAGAGAACAGCTAACGGAAGACTTTCATCATCTTAAAGTACGGCCCTGGCAAGGACTTAAAACCACAGGGACTGGTAAGTATTTAAAACTTCCCCCATATCCAAGGGAAGATGGGTTTTCAACACATTCTTTTAGCACAAACATGGACTGTCTACCAGGGGAGAAAGATAGGGATAAATTGATATGTACTGGAAGTCTCAACTACTGTTGTTGTTTACCAAAAAAGGAAGCTTTACTACATTCAAGGCAGCTTTACCTGACTTGCTTAATGACATAGTGATAAACTATACCCGTACATGGACATTTCTAAACTGCTTTCTCTGAAAGAGTATCAAAGATATTCCTAATATTGGTTACAGTTGTTTTGTTCGGCTAAAAATCTCTAGATAAGACAACATGAAACTAAAATGTAGGCCAGCTTACAGGTGAATTATCGCAATTTCTCAATCATTAGAGTATGACTAAATGATGTTCTAAAAAGTTAAAGAAAAGAGTAACTGATTGAGCTCCTATTGAGAAGGCCAATAATGTCATCCACATACATTCTTGGTGGACCCCAGTGGCTAAAATTTGGAGTTTCTTCTCCTTCACCTTCTTCTCTCTCAGGTAATTCACTAAACAGGGAGAAAGAAAAAAAAAATACAATTTTAAGGCATACTCATTATTAAAGGTCCTTGGAAAGTTTTGAAATTGCAAAATCTATAAGTGGTCAAATGAATCTCAATATTTAAGTTTGTAAAATATTTACATCAATAAATATACAAAGTAAAAATATATTGCTTTAACATTCAACTCAAGAAATCCACACCCAGCATAAGAAAATCACAGAATTATCATAAACGCTCTTATTGGTGACACTCTAGATGCTAAGTTTGTATTTGATTTGTACAATTTCAAATTCATTTCTCTATTGATAGGTAAAACATTATAAAATGTATTCCTTAAAATTTGGTATTGTTGGCTGGCTCACACGATAATCATGCGGTGGCTCACACCTGTAATCCCAGCACTTTGGGAGGCCAAGGCGGGTGGATCAAAAGGTCAGGAGATCGATACCATCCTGGCTAGCATGGCAAAACCCCATCTCTACTAAAAATACAAAAAATTAGCCGGGCGTGGTGGCACACTCCTATAGTCCCAGCTACTCAGGAGGCTGAGGCAGGAGAACTGCTTGAACCCAGAAGGCAGAGGTTGCAGTGAGCCGAGATCATGCCAGTGCACTCCAGCCTGGGTAACAGAGCGA